GTCACGCCTAGTTCTGCTTAGCCTAGATGTACGGCCTAAGTGTGGGCATTGCTGACCTTGGGTAACTCCTCGGACACTTGGGTTGGTTTTATGCCTCTCTCGTGGTGTATCTCAACTTCCATAGTTCTATTTGTGTTTTCTAGTGAATAATACTGTGGTCCGGCTTGTAGTGGCTTCGTTTGTCGTCAATGGTTCCATTGGTCTTATCACCAGGTGTGAAGAGTAGCTGCTCTACGCCTCATAAGATGCCCGAGAAAGACCTCCTCATCGCGTCATTCATCGCAAAGCATCAGTTGGACCAGGACGCTGCTACTGCGGTTCTGCTGGATCTCACCTCGTACGACTTGGGCGTTATCATTACAGCATTCGAACCGGCCTTGACTAACGGCGTGGACAAGGAGGCGCTTTTGCGAAGGTTCGTACAGGTGTACTTTGACCAGAAGACCCAAGCTTTTGTCAATCTCTGGGATTTGCCCGAGATCCCCACCAAAGAGCTCCTCAGTCGGCTCAACTATAAGGATCGAGGTCTGGTCATGGAACGCTTTTCGATCGACAATGCTGACTTAGTGGACCAGACGGAAAAGCACCGAGTTTTGAGAGCTCTCATCAAGAGACGCATGGAGCATCGAATTAACGCATTCGTTGGTACATGGCAGTTTGAAAGGACCGACCGTCCCTCGGCGGTCAAACTGTTGTTGACTTTAACCAATGGTGATTTGCAGGTGATTCTTGCGGCCTTCAATCCGGAAGTTTTGCCTCGTCATGACTCCCGGTACAGCCTGTTGGTGCGGACGGTTGACATCTATATGTCACGCAAAGTAGATGCGTTCATTTCCTACTGGTCTCTGGGGTCGGTCAAGAAGGAGGTGGAGTCAGTGTTGGCTCAACTGTGGCATGATCAGGCTTTGGGTTTTGTATTGGAACGTATCAATTTGGGATCTATTTCGAACCCTCGAGATAAGCTCGCCAAACTTCACCGTTACATTCACCGTTTGGTCACCAACAGAGTCAATCGATTTGCCTCAGCTGAGGGGTTACAAGAGGAGCCGTTGTGGGAGATGGCTTTGAAGACTCTCAGTGTCAAGAAGCTCCTATTGTTGGTTGATACCTACTCTATAGGGCCCAATGAGACCCCTAGCCAAGCCTTGGGTAAGCACATCACTGACGTGTCTCAGCAACATGCCCGACCAAAGACGACACCAGTGGTCCATGTGGTGGACAATACCGATGAGAGCGAGAATGACTATTCGATTGACCGTGGTGGTCAGCTACCGTCCAGCGTAGCGGAGCTGCGTCAGTTGTTGGTGTCGGGTGAAGTTGTGTTGCCTGAAGAGGTCCTTCGGGAACTTCATATTCTGGGGGAGACAGCGGTTGTGTTACCGAGAGAGTGACTTCCATACCACCTTTTGTAGACATCCTGACCTTGCGCATTCCCACTGGTAGCAGTATAGACCCCTTTTGTATTTAATGAATGGTCAGGGCAAGCGTGACCGTTTTCGAAGACCACAGAGGTGGACAGCCTCGCATCTGGTCGCAGTGAGCTCAGTCTTTTTTCTATTTGCAATTATTCCGATTTTTTTGGTATTCGTGTTAGTGTGAAAGTGACTCCATCTGAAGTATCATTCTGATCAACAGCACCAGTTGAGTTCATCTAGTGGGCACCTTATGGAACGAATCATATGAATCACTACTCTCTTTGGAGTAGATCCTTCACTCGTGTATGGCAACGCCGTCTGACACAGACGATCGGGAAAACCTGGAGAAGGCTATTCGAACCCTTGCATTGACCCCTGATAGCCAGGCAGAGAAAAGGAGCCCCGCATGGGACGTAGTGAAGACCATGTGCAAGGTGGACGCAGTACTATATCGGAGCCATTCCTATACAATGACAGGCACATGGGAACGCAGCGATCTCGGCCGCCGAGGCAGTGATCGTTAAGGAGCTTCTCGGCCATCCCAATCTTCGAGTTCGACACAGACTGCTGGAAAATGTTATTAGAAAACTGGTCAAGTCCAGTGTGGCGGCTAGAAAATGGTTCTTGGGTGACGTACGTGTACTGAAGAAAGCCGTAAGTCCTTCAGCTTCTATCGGAGACGAATTGGATGAGCTCATGAGCTCTCGATCATCGATAGGCATCG